GCCTGGGCTGGAGTGCAGTAGCGTATCTGGCCTCATTGCAGCCTCCGCCTCCCGGGTTCAAGTAATTCTCTTCCTCAGCCTCTCAAGTAGCTGGAATTACAGGCATGCACCATGATACTTGGCTAATTTTTTAATTTTTAGTAGAGATGAAGTTTCATCATGTTGGCCAGGCTGGTCTCAAAATCATGGCCTCAGTGATCTGCCTGCCTTGGACTCCCAAAGTGCTGAGATTACAGGTGTGAGCCACCGTGCCTGGCCGACTAGTTATTTCTATTGGATAGATTGCTAGACATGATATTAATACAATATAAAAGGAGATAACCATTTTTGAGACTTCTGACACACATCGTGAAACTACTTTTCAGGATGGCTCTAAGAATTCCCAATTCTACTAACAGTGTACATATGACCTATCTAATTCTTGTTTTTTTTTTTTTCCTTTTTGAGTTGAGATAAAGACCCAACTACTTCTTATTATTTAAATTTTGATATAAGGGACATCTTAATTGAAATTATCCCGTTGAGATTATACATGTTATCTTGTTTACTTAAGTATTTATCGACACAAGGGCTGAGCACAGTGGCTTACGTCTGTAATCCCAGCACTTTGGGAGGCCAAGGCGGGTGAATCACAGGGTCAGGAGTTCAAGACCAGCTTGGCCAAAATGGTGAAACCCCATCTCTACTAAAAATACGAAAAAGAAAAATTAGCTGGGAATGGTGGTGGGCATCAATAATCCCAGCTACTCAGGAGTCTGAGGCAGAGAATTGCTTGAATCTGGGAGATGGAGGTTGCAGTGAGCCAAGAGCTCCCTGGGGAACAGAGCAAGACTTTCTCAAAAAAAAAAAAAAAAAAAAAAGATAATTTACCAAGACAAAAAATACACCAAATTATTTTACAGGGTTAGCTTGAATTAAAAGCGTTAATTTCTGTTCATGTTAGCAACTAAAAAAGAAACAAAAGGGCTATGATTATAAAACCATACTTGAATTTATGAGATATAGTATACATTAATTTACTCACAACAAGGATAGTTCTCCAGAAGAAAACAGCAACTGAAGCAATTCCCAAGAAGGCAGTGATACGTACAGGTTTCCATGGCAGTCCATAAAAATCAGGCCCAGGCTGAACATCATCAGGCAATGTAGAAACTAGCTGAAAAGGGCAGGTTAGAAATAATGAGAAGCCTTAAAGAAACTTAATATAAAGGAGTCACAAAGACTCATCCATAGAAACTCTAAAACAACTCTGTCAGATACCTATCCCCTCAAAAATCTTCTGTAGCTCTCACTTCTTCAAGAAAAATAGGACACTGGGAGTCTTATACTCATTGCTTGGCTTGTAGTATTTCGAAGTATTATGAGTCTAAATGGCTTTAGGTTGAGCATGTATTTCTAGTTTGCAATAGGCCCTGATACAATATGTTATCTAAAACACAGCTAGAATCTCTCTGGATCATACTTTTCTCTTGAATAAGTTGTTTTTTTGTTGCTTAAGAGAACACATAAGACAAAAAACCTTCGATATACAAGTGATCAAATTTTTATGGCTAAAAACAAAACCAATATTATGATAACGAATGCCACAAAGAATGTGCTATTCCTCTTAGATTTACAATCTTAAATCAACTCTTACATAAACAAACAAATGCTGAGTAAATTATGATAGCTCCTGATAACTGATCTACATAAACTGCTTTGAATTTAGTGCCTTAGTTCTAAATGTTTCCTTGAAGACAGTACATTAAACACCTGTCTGCTCTATGATGTTTTCATGGCCCTCTACAAGTACACTATCATACTGGCCCCATATCCCAACAGAACCGGGGGTTATAGTGAAAAGACCTGTAGATTGTGCTCTGATCATGACTGTACACCAGAACATAAAGTACTGTCATTTCGTTAAGTACTCAATTAAAAAAAAAAAGTGATGAAACCTCAAACACACTTCCACCTGATTCCTTAAACAGCATAAAACGTCTTGCCTTCCTCGGATCTGACACTCCGTTTCTCCTTTGCATAGACAATCAGTGCACCCACTCTGCTTAGAATTCATCCACCCGCCTGCAAAGGTGGGGTCCCTTCCTGGGAATGGGGGCCGTCACCTCCAGCAGCTTGGCTATGAAGGCTGTGGAGAGCACCAACAGGGAACCCAGAAGGTCCCGGTCCCCCAGGGGATAGAAGATACAGAGGCCTGCACTGAGTCCATTGTGTAGAACAGCTGAACACAAGCGACACTTCCCTGCAGAACTGCACTGGGCCCCTGTGTTTCAGAGCTTCCTCCTTCGGAAAGGCCCCAGTTCAGGGGGCGGACACTGGGATTGAACTTTGCCTTCCACAGCTGCCGGCACTTTCGCTTTAGGCCTCCTATAAAACACGTCATCAGCCACTGCCCCCTGGCGCAGTCACCGCATCTAAGGAGCCGGCCCGTGGGGGCGGGGATAGAGTGGATGGAACCAACTGTCGAGGGAGCGGGGGTAAAAGAGCAAATAGAGCTGGAGAGGAAGAATCCAAGTAAAGAGAGGCGGGGGTAACTGGCGCTTCCACCAGGAGCCAGCGATTTAAAAAGCCCGGAGTGAGGAGACCAGGGAGCTACCCAGAGGAGGATTGTGGGCGGCAGCTGGGTAAATGGAGAAAGGCAGGCCTCTCGTGCCAGCCCGGAGCTGGCCCTTCCTGTTACAGTGTGGAAGGACCACCACTCAGATGTGGTGCCATTGCCCTGCGTGGTCCTTCTGCCCTGCCCACTCAGTCCTCTGCTTACTATTCCACCTCCAGGCCTCCGGTGTGCATGCTCTCTTACATTCTTGCTGACACTCTATTAAAAAGCCTTACCCAGGAGTCATGCCATCATGTCACCTCCCCTCCATGCACATGGGTTCAGTTATGGGTCCCACTTTTCATTTTGGATGATGGCTGTGGGGAAGAGGAGGGAGCCTCCGTATGTTGCTCAGGCTGGACTCAAACTCTGGGGCTCAAGCCATCTAAGAAGCTTGGACTACAAGTGGCCGGCCACATCTTAAGGTTATATGGCTTGTGAAAAAGGACGAGGATAATGAATAGTATGGAAATCACATTCCAAAGGTGGAAGAAAATGGGGGCATTTGATATGTGGGGGAAACAGATGATATTTGTAGATAAAGATACCATTCTTAGACCTTTAAAGGTCTATCTTTGGCCAGGCACAGTGGTTCATGCCTGTAATCCCAGCATTTTGGGAGGCAGAGGCAGGCAGATCACTTGAACCCAAGAGGCTGTGGTTGCAGTGAGCCGAGATCGAGCAACTGCCCTCCAGCCTGGCAACCTGGCAACAGAGCAAGACTCCATCTAAAAAAAAAAAAAAAAAAGAAAGCCTAAACTCAACTAGGAGGAACAATCAAGCAAGAAGAAACAGGAAAACCCTGAGAAAGAAGAGAAATGAAGAGTGTGAGAGGAGAATGGGATCAATAATCACAGAATGGTACTGGCCCAAGAAAGCAGACAGATCACAGGGCAGAATAAAAAATACAGAAATAGACTCAACTGCACTGGAAATTTGGCATACAGCAAGTCAGCTGGGGTAAAACAGTTTTTAATAAGTGGTATTACATATCTAGATAACAATATGGAAAATGATAAGATTGGATCTTTTTCTTATCATTCATAAATTCCAAGTGAATCAGAAACCTGAATGTAAAAAATGAAAACAAGTAGTAGAAAAAATTGTGTGAATGTCTCTATGTATTATATGGGTGGGGAAGACCTTCCTCATTATGTATCAAAATCCAAAAGCAACAAAGGAAAAGATTTGTAAACTTGATTACCAAAAAGCAAAAAAACTTGTCCAACTTCAATCCACAAAAATTGCAAAATAAGCAGAGTTGACAATGATAACCTAAGAAAAAATATTTGTAACATATTTTGAAGGATTAATATTCCTAACATATAAAGTGCTTTATAAATAAGAAGATGGCGGCCGGCAAACCTATAGAAAAGTGGACTGAGGAAACGAGCAGATCCCACGAAAAGAAATGCAAATAATTAAAAATCATATAGAAATGTACCCTGCCTCACTCATAATAAAAGAAATACAAATTGAACCTTACAATGAAATATGATTTCTCACTTATCTTGGCAAGATCCAAACCTTTGACAACACACTCTGTAGGTGAGAGAATGTGGAGGAAGCAGGCACTCTCATTCTCTGCTGATTTTTATATAAAATCATACAACCGCTATGATTTGGCAACATCTCCCAAAATAACTTGTTTACTTACCTACTGACTCAACAATCCCACTTCTAAAGATCTATCTCAAAGATACTGGGGATCTAACAACAAATGCTGGAAAAATATATGCACAAAACTATATTATTCGAGAGTAACTTATAACAAAAGACTGGAAACAACCAAAATGGTCATCAATGAAAGACATATTGAATACAATGAAGTATACTCTGAAGCTATAAAAGAAAATAATTTTATATACTGCTAGGGTATGGTGTAGGAATACATTTTTTTTTAAAGGTAAACTAGAGGTCTATCTTCAAGTTGAATAACTCTACATTTATCTAAGAAAGTAAAAATTTTTCCTTTACAGCTTTGAAGGAAATATGACATTCGGTAAGTTATGTGTATTTAAAGTGCACAGTTTGATCATTTTGGCATATGAACACACCCGTGAAACCATCATCACAACCAACATAGTGAACCTCCCAAAGTCTCCTTATTCCCTTTGTAGTCTCCTGCTGCTTTTCACCCTTCCCTGCCGCCCCAAGCAGAATTTCTGTTCTAGTAGATTAGTTTGCATTTCGTAAAGTTGGATATGTATGTAATAATGCATGATTATATTATATTTTCTCTAGCTTCTCTCATTCAACATAATTTGAGATTCACCCACATTGCTACACGTATCTATAATGGTTCACTTGTTTTTATTGCTGAGTAGTATTTCATTGCATGGGTGTACCACAATCTGTTTATCTGTCACCTATGGATGGATACTTGTATTTTTCCAGTTTGAGGCTCTTATAAATAAAACTGCCAAGACTATCATGGAGATGAATCTGCCACAGCTAGAAATGCTCAAGAACCAGCTGGACCAGGAAGTGTTCTTGTCCATGTCCACTGCTCAGCCCAAGGTGGTACAGACCAAGTATGTAGAAGCCAAAGGCTAAACATGCTGAATAAGAGCAACGTGGGAAGAGAATATCTCATCCCACTGACAAGTTCTATGTATGTCCCTGAGAAGCTGCATGATGTGGAACATGTGCTCATTGACGTGGGAACTGTGTACCATGTAGAGAAGATAGCTGAGGATGCCAAGGACTTCTTCAAGAGGAAGACAGACTTCCTAAGCACGCAGATGGAGAAAATTCAGCCAGCTTTCCAGGAGAAGCACATCATGAAACAGGCTGTCATGGAAATGATGATCCAGAAGATTCAGCAGATCACAGCCCTGGGGACAGCTTAGGCTACTGCTAAGGCCTGAGAGTTTGTTGCAGAAATGACACAGAGGGACATCCTTTGGGCGTGGCTTCCTGATGCCAGTGAAGAAAAGGGTCTTATGTTTAATGCCAATAAATGTGCCAAAATAAACTGTTAAAAAATGATCTACAAATCTTTCTTTGCATGTATAATTTTTTTTTTTGCATGTATAATTTATTTTCACTCGGGTAACTCTCTCTTGGGTAAATGTTTAGGAGATGAATGGCTAGATCATATGACCAGTATAGGTTTACCTTCTTAAGAAACTGACAAGCTGTTTTCCAAGATAGCTGTACCACTTCATAGAGCTATCCCCACCAGTAGTGTATGATACTTCCCATTCCTTCATATCTTCTCCAACACATGGTATAATCAGTTTTTAAAATTTTAGCCATTATATTAAGTGTGTAGTGGTAACTCATTATGGTTTAAATTGACATTTCACTGATAATTATGCTGAACATGTTTTAGTCTGCTTACTTGCAATCAGCATATCTTCCTTGGTAAAGTATTATTTCACTGGGTTACATTTTTAGATGAATTTTTAGAGTTCTTTATGTATTCCGAATACAAATCTTTTATCAGATACATACTTTGCAGTAACTCTTTCCCAGTGTGTAGTTTGTATAAGTGTATTTTGAAGATATGTTTTTATTTTAAGTCCAAATTATCACATTTCTCCTTTATGAATCATACTTTTGATGTCAACTGTAAGAAATCTTTGCCTAATCCAACTTCCATAAAATTTTTCTTTTAATTTTTCCTAGAAGTTTTATAGTTTTAGGTTTTACATTTAAGTCTACAACCTGCTTTGAGTTAATTTATGTACCTGATGTGAGGTATGGCCCAATTTTTTGCTTATAAATATCTAATAGTTTTGGTACCATTTGTTGAAAAGGCTTTCCTTTCTCCATTTAACTGTCTTTGCACCTTTGTCAGAAGTCTTGTAATACATGTATAAATCTATTTCTGGATTTTCTATTTTGTTCCAATGGCCTATTCATCTGCTGTCCTAATTACTAGAGCTTTATAATAAGTCTTGAACTTACATGATGCTTGGGCTATTCTAGATACTCTGAATTGCAGAATTAGTTTGTCATTTAAAAAAATCCTTCTGAGATTTTAATTGGGGTTATGTTGATGCAAGTGATCAAATTGGGGAGCTTAACAATATAGGCTTCTGACTCATAAACAAGGTATATCTATCCATGTATTTAGGTCTTCTTTAATTTCTATCAGCAATATTGTACCATTTTCAATGCATATGTCTTACACACTTTTTGCCACATTTAACTATAAGTACTTCATATTTTTGATACTACTGTACATGGAATTTAACTTCAACTTCCAACTGTTCATTGCCAGTATATGTAAATACAATTGCTTTTAGAAGTAAATTTTTATCTAGCAACCTTACTAAACTTAGTACATATAGATTTTTTTCTACATCCCACCAGATTTTATGCATGCTGACTGCAAAAAAAAAAAAAGACAATTTTACTTCTTTCCTAATCTGGATGCATTTTATTTCTTTTTCTTGCCTTAGTGCACTGGCTGCTGCCTTACAATGTTGAACACATGTAATGAGAGTAGACACTCATTTCACTTCTGGGTATTGGGGGAAAACAATCAGTAGCTACAAAGTATGATGTTCATTTTCAATTTTTCATAAAAGTGATTTAAGTTCTATTCCTGGTTTGTTGATCTATTTATTGTTTTTTAAATTACATAGTAATCAATTTTAGATTTTTTTCAAAGGGGTTTTTGTGTGTTTATTGAACTGAACATATGGATTGTCTTTTTAAAGTTTGTCATTACGGTTAATTTTACACTGATTTTCAAATGTTAAACAAGCTTTGTATTCTTGTTATAAACCTATTTGGTCATAGAGTATTTTCTTTTTATATATTGTTGGATTTGACTTGCTAAAGTTTAGAATTTTTTTAACCAATG